TATGTTGTCAGGACATACTCATGTAGGTCAATTTGCACCATTTAATATTCTTGTTCATTTATTCTTTAAAAAGGCACATGGACTTTATTCAATTAACTCAAAAGATAACAAATATCAAATGTATCTCTACACACATCCAGGTACTGGTGCATGGGGACCTCATATGAGAAGTGCAGGAACAAATGACATTACAATCTTTCATATTAAACCGTAATTATTTCTAATTATTAAATTATTTATTTTATTCATCTTTTATTTCTTTTATACTATCATTTAAATAAACCAATGATAAAAGAGAAAGAATACTCTACCACTTCTCATTAACTCTTCAATATTATTCTAAATTCCATTATTATAAAATGGAAAAGGATATTTATGATTAAGAAATAATTATATAGTTCATATTCTTTGGATTCTGTTTGGTTCTTAATAATATTAAAGTATATGAATAACAAAGATACCTTAAAATAATGAATAAAACAATTAAATAACATTCATGATAATAACAGTAATAAAATCACAAACATATTGATATAAATAATAAAGTATCAATGACTAAAAGAAAATATCAATTAAATAATTACAAATAAATGAAAATGGTATTAATTGATTCAATAAATTGATAATAATATATAAACTTATATTTTTAATTATACTCCATATTAATATAATTATTCAAAAAAATATTGAAATGATTATGTAATAGAGAAGTAATATAAAAATTATAATTTATCTTCTTATACAATAACCAACCCAACTTCAATGATGACCTTTCATTTTAATACATTATTTACAATTTTTTTTTCAATGATATATTCTTTCTTTTTGATTTTTTTGAGATTCATAATAATACCTTATACTGGATATCCAATGTCAACATAAAATAAATGATGTTGATTTACATATTCAATTCTTTCTTTTACTTCTTTATTTTCTTGTTTATTTACTTTACAATTTATATTTAATCCATTTTCTAGTTTAGTAAAATGAACTTTAAAAGGTGAACCATTGCAATAATGAAAAAGAATAATCCTATTACTATAACGATAATTCCATAAATTGAATTAAACAGATTCCATAATAATATGTTCATTACACACTTTCCAAAAAATAATACAAATAATAAATACTACATTATTAGTATAATTTGTTCATAAATATCTTTATATTTATTTTCAATATGTTTTTATTTTATTTAGTTTAGGAATAAATGACATTGAAATATGTTCTTCACTCTTCATTTATTAAATATTTCTTTAAGATGTTCTTTCTTTCATTTTAAAAAAATTTATTTATTTCAACAAAAATGAAATTAAGTATCTTCAATTTTATTCAGACTCTCCTTCTGATGATAAACTCTTATTTTCTGTTTGCTCTTCTCTTTGAATCAAATCTTGTGAACTTTCCTTTTTATCTTCTTTTTCCTTTAATGGTTCTTCTATTTTACTTTCTACACTTATTGTTTCTATTGGAACATATGACTTACGTTTAGAATTCTCATTTACACATAATGTATCAACACATGCACTAGTTTCTCCATCAATATATCCTTTATATACTTTTGATAACATAATTGCAACTTCTTGAAAAGAGGGTCTATCTCGTGGGTCTTGTTGCCAACATCTTTCAATAACTTCCGAAAATAAACACCCACTCGGTATTTCAAGTCTTTTTCCTGCTCCAACAAATTTAAGAATTGATTCACCATCTGGGAATTTTATTGAATTATATGGATCTTTACTTATCCAAACTTCTAACATACAAATAGCAAATGAATATACATCTGATTTTAATGTCATTTGTTCATTAACTTCACCTTTTTGTAATGTCATTTCTGGTGCCATATAAACAGGTGTGCCAATGTGTTGAATTCCTAATTTTTGAGATGATTCAATGAATGAACGAGAAGTACCAAAATCTGTTACTTTAGCTGTCACTGGATCAAATGGATTGTTTGAAACGACTAAAACATTATCAGTTTTTAAATCACGATGAACAATATCGTTTTGATGTAAATATTCCATTCCACGTGATATATCTTAACAAAATCTAATCTTTAATAAATCATTCATTGTGTTTGTTTTCATAAATTTTCTTAATGACCCTAATGGACAAAATTCTGTTACAAGACATAACGTATCTGGTGTCACAACACTTCCAATATAATTCACTACGTATTGACATCTAATTCTTTCCATCATTCCAGCTTCTTGCATAAAATTAGGTAATAAGTCTTTGATGTCTACTAAATCAGTTTTCATTAACTTAACCGCAACATCTACTCCTCTCCATTCAGCACGATAAACAATACCAAATGTACCTGAACCAATTGGTGGATGAATTAAATTAATTTCTTCATAATCAATCTTAGTAGATAATGCTGATTCAAGATTTAAATCCAAATAAACATAAAGTTTGTTTAAACTTTTTACTTGTTTCTTCTTTCTTTCTACTGATTTTCCTTCAATGGAGTTAACAAGTTGAAAGGAAGAAATAAAAATAATTTTTTATAACAAAAATACACAAAAACAAACTTCTTTAAAGAGGAAATAATATTTTTTTATGTTATTAAGAAATTGAACAAATTGTTAATAAAATTATTGCTTTTGT